GGGGAAACCACCTTGGAAAGCCCCTGGGAGGTGGAGGAGGGTGAAGAGGTCAGCTGAAGGCTGCAAGCTCAGTCCCCGGTGGAGGAGGTGGGGGAACGGGAAGAGAAGGTGGCAGAGGGGCTTGGGATTCCCCGTCCCCATCTGTGGGGTTTCAGATTCTCATAGTAATCCCTGATCTAAACCAACCTCCTCTTTGATGAGATCGTTTCACACCTGTGATCTCATTTCATGGGGTGGTGGAAAGGACCTGGAGTGAGGTAGAACAGGGTTGGGGATCCCTCCAGGACTCTTGGGGGCATCCGTGGCTCCAAGCCTCGCCTGTAAAATGGGGTCAAGGCAGGCTGTGCGTTACCTGCTTAGATTAACGGGGCCGTCACATCTGGCAAAGCGTCCAGAGCTAAAGAGTGTTTTGTGTTTGCCAAGACTGGGCTTGGTACTAATGGCACCTTGTGTGGGAAACTGAGGCTCAGAGAAGTGGAACCAGTTGCCCAGGGCCTTCGAGTTTGCTTCAGGAACTGAGTGCTGACTGCATACCAGGTGCCCTGGGAGTTACCCAAATGGGAAAGGAGTGGACTAGCTTGAGATTGGGTGGACTAGGCGGCAGCCTGGAACAGCCACAGTGGTAAGTCAGACAGACCAGGCGCGTGGATCTGCTCTGCCTCCCACTGGCCAGATGGCACTGGGCGAATCACGTCACTCCTCGGAGCCCCAGTTTCTCTGTAAGTTAGAATTCCTCCCTTACAAGGTTGTCGTGAGGATTAATGGGATATAAATATACAGCACTTGGCCAAATATCTATTTCCTTTCCTATAAGGAAAGGAAGCTTGAATTTTGACGGGATGGTCAGGGAAAATTCTCAGACTTGCCTCTGATTAGAATGCAGGCTACCGTTGCACGCTCACAGACCTGGGTGTACTCAGCTGGGACTCCTGTGTGGGTCAGGCTCCTCTGTGCCTCCTCCCTGGTCCCACAGCCCTCTAGAATCTACTCGGGGACCCTGGCAAGGGGTTCTGGATTCTGAGCCCCTACCCCAGGGCTGTTGGCTTCCTGTGAGTTGGGGGAGCTGGTGTACATTCCCTCTGGTCCATTGTCTGGTCTCCTTAGGCACAAAGGTGCAGTGAATAATTTATGGCTCCCCTCACGCTGGGAGGCAGGCTCAGGGAAATTGCTCTGGGCTCAGCTGAGCTTCTGAACCCCACCAGAGGAGGCAGGCGGTGCCTGTCAGTGCTGTGAAAAGTCTTGGATGTGGGGAGGAGGGGGGACAGGACAAGATGAAAGTGACCTGTAATCAGCCCTGGCTCTCTCCTGTTGGGGGGGCAAGGTGGACCCACAGGACACAATGGAAACTAAGCTAGGTGAGCTAGGATCAAGCTATGGGTCTCTGATTCCAGATGGGTGGTGAGGGGTGGCAGAGAGAGGCCTCTGAGGACTGGAGTAACTGGGAAGGCTTCATCGAGGAGGTGTCTGGGCTGGGGCTGGGGGCAACTTGCTGTAGAGAGTAGGGGTCCTGACATTGGCTCAAGGTTGAATCCTGGCTGTGACAGTAAGCAAGACACCTGACCCTGCCAGGCCTCTGTTTGCTCCTCTGTAAATTGAGGGTAGTTATGGGTGACCGTGAGATCACATATGTAAAGCACGTGACACGATAGGTACTTAGTGAAAGGGTACTTTGCTGTGAACATGAGCCATGGGGTGGGCTAGTGGTGGAGGAGGTGGGATGGTGGAGTAAGCAGAGAAGGAGGACAACTCTGGGGTAATGATGCTGGGGTTTGTGGGGTCAGTGAGGGATGTGGAGAAGAGGAGTGGGTGACCAGATGGTAGAGGGCCTTGAATGTCACACAGAATTCACCTTTCCTAAGGCATCATGGAGTCCCCATTCAGAACCCTCTGTGGCTCCTTCCTGCCTATAAGATGAAGACCAGGCCCCTTTGTTGTGCATTCAGGGCCTTGCCCACCGTAGCCACTGCATGGATGCCTGGCTCAGGGCTCATCACTGTCTCCTAAACACACCATTTGTGGCCCCATTGCTGCCCCTTTGCCTGTGGGGTTCCCCCTGTCAGAACCACCATCCCTGCCTCTTCTCTGCTCACCTCCCCATCTGTGAGGCCCAACGCCGGTTATAAATTCCCCTAGAAACATTCCTTGATTACCCAACCCTCTGGTCACACCCCCTCTGAGTCTTTAACACGTCATAGTAATAAATAATACCTACCACTGCATCACATTTTACAGTTTGTAGAATGCATCCAAATACTCATTAATATGATGATATTAACAATAGCTAAAGCTTCGGGTACTTACTACGAGCCAGACACTGCTAAGCACTTTACAGACCCTCTCATTCCCAACTCCGGGAGGTAACTACTGTCATCCGCCAGAAACTGGGCTCAGAGAGGTGCCTTGTCTTCCTCAAGGTGACACAGCTAGACAATGGGGAGAGAGGAGTCAAGCCGGTGCTCCTACCTGCCACTGAACAGACAGCTTGACAGCTTTTAGATGTCCTGTCTCCTCAACTCCGCCCAAGTACCTCGAGAGCATCCTTCGCATGTAAAAAGCCTGGAAATGAGCCTTCTTCTCAAGGCTGAGGGAGGGCGGTGCTGGGGAGCGTGGGGTCCAGGAAGGACCGCTTGGCCAGGCATCCAGGGCCCTGGGCTCTACACTGGCTGGCTGTGTGGCTGGGGGTGAATCGGCCCCTCTCTGTGGTCCTGTTTTCCTGTGTCTACAGTGGGTGGGGTGGCGTCTGAGCTCCCCCTTTCTGCAGTGTCCTTTGTGACCCTGGAAGGTGGAGGAGGAGACCACAGCAGCAGAGCCAGAGGATGTGGTGTGGCAGGCAGCTGTGATTTTTGGCCTGGCCGCCGTCTGGGCCAGCAGGCTCTGTAGTTAGCTGCTGCTTCCCCCAAAGGAGAGTGGCAGCCTGGGCTGCTGGCAGCATGGTCATTAGCTGGGCAGAGGAGACCCTATGATTGGGAGTCGGCTGGGCCAGGCCAGATTGGTAGAGCCGGAGGCAGACTGGCTCGGCCACGGGGGGGTCATTGGCAGGGCAGCGGGCAGGGCAGCTGCCTCTTCTCCCTCCGCAGCCTCCAGGGCAGTGGCAAGCACCCCCTGGGCACCAGAGCTCTGTAGGCCAAGGCTTGTTCTTCCTCCTGTTGTGGTGGTCGTGGGAGGGGAGTAGTAAGGAGTCTACTTAGGCCCAAAGATGCCTCCTCCTAGAAGCTTCCAGGACCCCTCCCAAGCAGGTGGAATCCAGCCTTCCTCCTCTGCAGATCCACAGCCCTTGCTCACTCACTGACTGTGGTCTGTGGAGTGGGGTTGTATGGGTCTGCTTCCCTAGCCAGCTCGTCAGGACTAGATTCTCTTCACCCCAGTCCCCCCCTCCTCACAGAGTGCCTGGCACAAAGTGGCAACCACCCCGCCATCAGGGGAGACAGTGCGAGCTGCCCCTTGGGCTAGTTGCTCAACCTTTGTTCCTCTGTTTCCTTCCCTGTAGAATGGGGCTGATAATAATAGTTGCGGAGGTTAAATAAGATGACAGGAGCGAGGTGCTTGGCCAGGCCTGGCACGCAGGCAGGTGCTCCGTCAGCCTGAGTCCACTTGCCCATCCCCGTGG